GGTGCTTCTACTAAATACTGAGCAAAGGGTCTGAATACTTATGACCATGTGATATTTCAGTTTTTCTTTTTTAATAAATCTGCAAAAATGTCAAATTCTGTGTTTTTCTGTCAATATGGGGAGCTGTGTGTACATTAATGAGGAAAAAAATGAACTTAAATGATTTTAGCATATGGCTGCAATATAACAAAGAGTGAAAAATTTAAGGGGGTCTGAATACTTTCCGTACCCACTGTATGATTAGACACTGTCGTAGGTAGAGTGTGATGCCGACTAAATTAATTCAGACAAATCATCCCAATTTAAATGACCATTTAATATTACAACTATTCTGAACAGAGTAGTAGTGAAACAGATAATCTGATAGGAAACAGAACAGACCCTGCCATGAGATAGATAAAGTATTAAATAAGAAGATTGTCAAAAGCGCCAGTCAGTCTGTCAGTCTCCCCCCGGCCGGGTCCCCAAAAAGCACACATTTTACTGTCCCAGTAGCATTCTCTCTCTGTCTCTCTCTCTCTAACCCTTCAGCCTCACTCTTTTATCCGCAGCTTCCCTTATGCTGTTACGTCAATTTCTGAACTTAGCTTCCTGTCTCCAGTTTCGGGAGACAACACCCTGAGATGTACTTCAAAAACAGGAAACATCTTGACCAACTTATATAAGTTCATTGTTCAGCTCACATGAACTTAATGAACCCATAACCACTCAGCTCACCCTTACACAACTAGTACAAATAATATCTATATATGAACTACATACTGTTCTATTACATACAGTATTCCCTCTGGAACCTTGTTTATTTTTAACCACTACAACACAAAACCAGAGCGGGTGGAAAGACAGAATGAAGAAGAGCAAAGGCGGTACAAGACGAGGTGAGTTTTGATGTTGGGAAGGTGGCTGACTGCCCAGAGTAACTACACCTCACGTTCAGCTATAGCCTCTCTCCCTGCACGTTTAAGCTACACCAGAGCTGTAGGCATCCTCGTGGCCACATAGTATGTGATGGGAGGTCACGGACACTGAGCACACTCGGTGTAGCGTAGGGTCGGAGCCAGCAGCCATGACCACAGCTTGTCGGATGTGAAGGCTAAGAAGCTAAATAGTGAACGTGGGATGGTGGCACTAACTGGCTTTGTCTCCACTGCTCAGCCTCCTGCAGACGCTGCGCTGCCCTCCAGACTCTCGCTGCCTTACAAAGTGATGAAGTCTCTGGACGGAGAGGTCTACAGAAACCTGGAGTTTGATGTGTGGCAGGACACCTGCAAAGGTAACACGCCACACAGACGGTCCTTGTTTTATGTAATTCAGTCAGACTGAATGTACAGGTTTATGATGGTAGTTTGAAACAAGTCTGACTGAGCCAGCACATAGTTTGCATTTGAAACTACCCAGAACATGTGAATACACAACCATTCAAGTCACCTAAGTCAGCGCAGCCAGGTGGTTCGAGTGTAAATGTGACGCCAGCAGCTCTAAGGAATGATGTTGCACAACCTGAAGCTGATTGGTCAAGATCTTGTTTGAAACCTTTATGCAACAAAATGTAACTGACATGAGACCTTAATTGTCCACCTCAGCAGCAGTGTGTAAGCTGATTACTGTAGTAATCTGGTTTCACACTATGGCTCAGTAATGTCAGGTAACTCTGGTACTAAGTTTGCAGGTGGTGCTGACCTGAATTTGGGAACTCGGCCTCTTGTGCTCAGACATAAGGGAAAACAAACCTGGGTGTGAAATTTGACGCAGAGTTTGGTGTAAACCAGTCACTACTTTCCTGCCTTCGGTTAGCCCAGAATGCTGCTGCTCACCTCACTACTATGATCATATTACCCTGTCGTGCACTCTCTCCATTGGCTTCCGATGTGTTTAGGGTTGACTTTAAACTCTTGCTGTGGTTTTAATGCCCTCGGTGGTAAAGCGCCATACTATTTGGTTGCTCGTAGACGCTGTAGATATCTCAGGTGCTCTAACCAATTTCTCTTGGATGTCCTGGGATGGAGGTGTAAACAGTGGGGTTGCTCTCAAACTGTGGAACACCTTACTACCAGAGATCCAATCCATTATGGGCCAGGCACTTTATAAAACAAAGCTAAATACTTGGCATTTTCTACCAAGTAGAGCACTGACATCAGTAGCAGTTGTATATTCTTCTACTCTTCTTTCTTACTGTGGTTTTATTTAATTGACTGAATGTGAAGCACTTTGGTCCATGTTGTTTGACAGGTGCTATATAAATACACTTTTTATTGATTGATAATGTGACTGTTGTGTGTGGCGAACAGAGATGCAGAAGACGGACTACATGGTGTTTGCAGGGAGGCAGTACTTCCTGGGAGACAAGTGTCAGGTAAGAAAATATGCCTGACGTATGTAGTCACTGCTGCAGTAGTTGGTGTAGGCAGGCACCCGCAGCTGAAGCCCAGTGAACGCTTTAAGAAACTGGACTGTTATTAGAAGAAACTGAAGACGATGGACTGAATTCGAACAGTCCAGCTGGTCTCGGCTCTTTAACTCCTTTTGAATATATAAAACACACTGACGGTTCAACTACCTGCAGGGTTCAACTCCAGACGTGCACTTGAATTTGCTTCATGCAGTTACACTTTGTCACCTCAGCCCTTGTTAGTGCCAACACTTCAACTCCTTTCAGTCCAAACAGCTGACATCATAAAGCACTGCAGCTTGTTTAGTTTGTACACCCCAGTTACCGTCAGAAAACTTTTTATTTTAAAACAGGAGCAGCCTGCAGCCACATAGTTCTCCAGCAGAAAACCTATGAATGAGTGAAACACAGAAAACCGAATGTTAGCAGTTCCTCTCCACCAGTGGAGGAAATGGGAAATTGTGAAGATTATCCTGAGGATGCCTCAAGAGCAGAGATTGATTACAGAACAGAGGCCCAAGGCATCAGGGGCCTCTGGATCAGGCCTGTATGAAGCAACTGTTATCATTTTTTATTGGAAAGTCAGTCAACCACAAATAAAACAAAAAATGAGTAAACGTAGCTGCTAAGCAGCACAAAGAAATGCAAAATGAGCACAACTACATGCAAAGCAAGCTCGCAGACAAAAACGATTAAAACATGGATGAAAATAACTACACAGGGATAAAAAGTGGCTAAAAATAAAAGCAAACAACCAGGAAGCCACAAAATCTGTTTCAGAGAGGTGCACAGCAACCATAACTAAATAGATGCAATGTGATTAAAATAAGATGCGAAATGATAAGGATGGAAAACAAATATAGGTGCAAGGCAACTCAGAGTGTCAAACCTCTCTATCGCTCTTTGGGTCTTGCAGGAGGGTGGGGGGCCTTTACATGTCAGTGCCAGGGGCTCGGCATCTCAAAATCCATGCTCCAGAGGTTTTGTCAACAACAGGTTGGTCCAGTGTGTGCGACATCTGACTCTGCTCGATACTGTCAGACTGAGCTTGAAGCCTAATGGCATGCTAAAGTAACTGCTGCTGGGATACAGTGCTAACGTGACCTTGTCCAGTAACATAGCACCGACTGATGAAAAAGAGAGAAGCTGCTGTAGCAGTATTACACCGTCTGGTACTTTGAGTTCAAGGTCAAAGTATTTATTGTCATATGCATAGTTAGGAAACGTGTTTCCCTGTACAATGAAATTCTTACTTTGCCGTCCACATGAATGCCACACAATACAAATGAAATATAAAGTAGATAAACAAGTAACACAAAATCTAAGGCACTTTAAGCAGCAACAGATGCAGCAATATAATAAAAATATATGAGAATATAACTGAATGTATGCAGCATGTGCAGCAGAGTCATTGTGCAATTATGCATCTAACACAAAATCTAGGACACTTTAAGCAGCAACTTGATGGACAATAAATCAGCCCCATCTTAACCATGAATTGTGGGACACGTCTCCTGTTCCAGTGTTCGGCCAATTACAGTGAGCTCAAACAAAATGCATGACTGTTTTCAGGTGCGCCTGCAGCCGAAGGGGAAGTACTACAATGCCTTCATTCAGGAAGTAGGAACGCACCCATCAGCAGTCACCGTCTTCATCGAGGAGCTTGGAGAGAAGTAACACACACAACCTAAACTTTAAACCCGATACTGACTTTAACCCTGGACCTGGTCTGACCACTCAAACAGCCAGTGGCCTTAACGTGGTCCTCAAAGGGGCAAAGTAACTGAACAAGGCTTCAGTTTGTGTAGATCAGGTTTTGAGCAGGAGAGCTGGTCTGACTTAGCTGATCTTAAATGTAAACCTGTTCTCTCTCTCAGACACCTGGTTCCTCTGACTGATCTGAAACCAGTGAATCCAGTCCCTGCCTGGAACATTGCTGCTCCCACTAGAAAAGGAGATGTGGGTACGTTTTCTCTGAGATCCAGTTTCTTTGCTGCTCCTCATGCTGCTCTCTGAAGATGTTTTCTTCATATCTGTTCTAAATGCTGGGAAACAAATTCTAAATGTAACAGGTTTCTCTCAGTGGAGAAGCAGCTGTGACTCAAGCTTCGGGTTCAGTGAAGTGTGATAATCGCTGCTTATGCCACCTGAACTGATTTAGTTTTTATCTTCTGATGGTGTACATTAGTTTGTCAACTTTCAGTCTTTTGATTCTTTTATTTAGTCCAGTGTTCCTCCTTTTTATCTTTCATTTTGTGGTTACAGCTGCCTCAGTCTCTGCGGTGTAGTCGCCGTGGTTACAGCTGCCTCCATCTTCGTCCTGTGAAGTTACTGTTACCTGATTACTGGCTTCCTGTCTTTTTCTCAGACTCTGACCCTCGTGGTCAACGGCACCATCGCCAGCGTTACTTCAGGAAGGCTCGAGGTAGCAGTGGCGTGAAGGGGGCAGAGCTACTCTTGCCTCCCTCTTCATATGGAAGCCCCTCCCCACCCACCCTACCTCCTCGTTTCCAGCCAACTGGCCACCCCCGCCCACCTCCTCCCCTGTCACCTGGAGCCATGGGCTATGACCCCTACGCCCCCCCACACCCCCACCCTCCTACAGCCAGAACTCCTCGCTACGGAGCTTCCAGGTGAGGCTTCTACTATTTATTGTTTAGACCAGGTGATACCATAACAGAATGGTGAACGCTGGCATCCAAACAGGTGGCACTGTAGACAGGTACTTTACTGTGTCAGAACAGGTATGCGTTGGTGCTTCAGGTACAGTCCAACAAAGAAGGTCAGTTTTCTGGTGTAGAAAACAAAGAACAGAAAATCTGGCAATGGAGAAACTGACACTCTGATGACAAGAGCATCTGAGTGACGCGTGATGCAAGAAATTGTCAGAACTAGGTTCCAAAAACATACTGATACTGAGGACATCTGTGTTTTTGTGTGTGCGTCTACCTGTGTGCCATGGGTTCTGGTCAGAAGCTCCACCCGTTTCCTGAACCGTCACCTGATTGGTCCACAGCTGACTTATTACCAGCCCGGCAGACGATACTACCACGACTACGAGAACTACGCCTTCAGGTCACGGTAAAAGGCTTCAAACACAGCTGAATGTTGTTGTGATGCTTTGTGCTTAGTTCCCATGGATTTTTACTAAAAGCCATAAATTTTTTTTGGGCCGTAGTCTACAGTCTAAAAACTTTTTCTGAATCAACAAGTCAGTAGGCCACAGTGTCCTCTTTGATAGGATCTTTTGGCAGCAGTGCAGTTTGGTTTATGAGAATGTAATGATTTGATTATTTGTCCAGTCGTAGTCGGCGTCAACTGGCAGCAGCTCTGAGTAAGGAGTGTCAGTTTGGTTTCTCGGAGGCCGCGGAGGAGCAGGCTGATCTGGATGCGGCCATCACCTACTACCAGCTGGACGATGCCAACGAGGGTGTCTTCCCTCCACTGCCGGTAAGAGAACCAGGGGTCACAGAAATCTGAAAGTGTCTGAACATCTCCAACCTCTGACTGTGTGAGTGCCGTCAGAACGGTCAGATCAGAATCAATGTGGTCGTTTTAACGTCTCCTCCTTTGTACATACGGCCTGTCGTCATCATTTAGTGTCGGCCCCTCACAGACAGGTAACAATAGACATGGAGGAGAGCGACGACAGCGACGGGGTCAGTGGAGAGACCAGGATGTTTCACATGTGGTGGATATTGATGGAGAAGCTTCTGATCAGGCCAAACTGGAAGGAACATATCGTAACCCAGTGGTTTGGGAGGAAACTGGACCATTTGACCGTTGCACACATAACCTGGTTGTTATTGTGTGCACGTGGCTCACATTTCAGTTACATCTGTGCACCTGTGGCGGTTTAGGAGCTGAGCGGGGTTCACACCGGAGCCGGTTACACAACACTGACACACACAGTACACAGCTGAGAGTTTAGGCCTGAGAAAGGGACTTGCTCTACCAGAGTTGGGATGTACTGTTATGACTTCTCTGCAGGGCCCGTCTGTGGCTCCACCCTCCAGCATTGCAGCCCCGCCTCCTCCCTCTGGCCCCTCCTATAGGGTTCAGAGAGCTTCAGGGCCTCTCCCTCCTGCACCTCCACCAGGAAATACCCCTGTTTGCTCATCGGAGGAGGACCAGGAGGACACAAGCACCGTGGAGGACCAGGGTGAGGGTGAAAGACTTTATACTGTAATTTCATTTTTAAAAAATTCAAAATATAAATCTAAATTTTTAAAGGATCAAACAGAAAAAACTTGGAGAATCATAAATTGTCAGAATAGTCACCTCACCTGCAGAGTTCACCCCATCTTTATTTGGCATTATTCCTGTAGCTGAGTGATTTTTGTTGTGGAGTTGCTCTTAATAGAACTCAACACTTCCTGTGGATGTTTCACACTAAAAGCCTAGTGACTCAGGTAACTTTTAATGTGGAAAATCCTGCAGGAAGTATTTTATTAATCTTTATTTGACAGAAAAGTAGGGTTGCTGTGTGGGTGTGTTGCTGAAAGCAGTTAAACTGTACTTTATACTGAAACTTTGTGCCAGTATCTGTGCAGCTTTGATGTGAGTCAGTGTTTCTGTTTGCCAGCTGAATACACAGAGGAGTACATCTACAGCCCTCAGGGTGAGTAACCTTATCTGACGGGAGAGTCTTGATGTGCTGGTCCTTATCACATCCTGAAGACAGGGAGTGACTTCGAATTTAAACTGTTTCAGAGCAGAGCTACCAGACTCCAGGTGTCTACACTGCTGCTGAGTCCACCATCAACCAGGTAACACACCTGACCTCTGGGGTTGAAGGTTTGCTGAACAAATCAGTGTTTGTTTTAAAATCAGGCAAATGACTTGATCAGACATACTGATGTTTCTATGCATTTTTAGCAAGATACCGAACAGCGATTAACTCTGGAAGCCCTGCTCTTTTATGTGTCCTCTGAGACACAAGCAGTGGAGAGTCTGGGCTTTCAGATGGTGAAGAAGGTAGAATCCTGAGATGGGCTAAAATAACATTCAGGGGGTGTGTCAGACTGACCGGCATTGTGGACGAAGACCGGTGAAATGTCGTGTTTGGTATTTATATCAAGTTCGAGGGTCACGACTGATTTAATATGATGTAATACATGGTGTGGTGATTGTCATGTGATCAGTGATGTCATGAAGTTAGAGTGAAAACTGACGACTCCTTTTAAAACATTTTGCTCTTATTGTGAAAGGAGCAGGAAGGAGGCACCACTGACTCTCCACCAAGACCAGACATGAGCTACAGCTACACACAGCAGGTACACAGTTTGTATTTCTATACTTGTGGAGACCCCAGTGACAAGCTGCATCACCAAGCTCCTAACTGAACTTAAACATTAAAGGCTGAAGGCTGTGATTCAGTGTGTCTGCTACGCCCCACCAACCCCGTCCAGAGACCAGCAGCACCAGTGAATGTGGTGTCCTCACCATAATGTGAGTTCAAACCCTGGTCCAGCTTATCGCACTGTGCCGTAGACCTCCACTGTTGTCCACCAGCTATTAGAAGTGGTTGTCACACAGATGACTGTTCCAGGCCATCCACTATAAATTAGGGTAAAAAGCAGAGAATAAGGAAGCGAGTCGAGTCACTGGTTTGATGACCTTGGCTTTAAATCATTCTGCCCACACCGTGACCTTGTCGAGCAGTAAAATGGAGCAGGTTAGGGTTAGGTCACAGCAGAGGAATGCCAATCAATATATTGATCACAGGCCACTACCCCTCACTGATCGTCGGCTCTGTGCAGTTTATATCAAATAATTAGAGCTGAAAATAAATTATCATTTTGGACTAATCTAATTTTTTCAGTTAAATGTTTGCGTTTTCATCTTCAGGCCTTAAACTGTGTCAGGAGTGACTAGCCAAAAACGTGTCCCATATACAGTGCTGAAGTAACTAGTGGCTGGAATTAAACTGCCAAATGCATGTACAGTAATTGTAATCAGTTACTGAGAAAATGTGTAATTGGTTACTGATCAATGTTGGTGTTTACAGAGGGGTTACATCTACGTATGTTCTCTGTTAAAAGCTGATGCATAACATAAGCTTTGCATCTTGTTGCTGTGCATGAAGGTGTTTTTCTACACAAGTCGGCAAAGCTGCTGGGACAGATGTGAGTACAACACCAAGGGTAGGACGGCTCCTGAGCACCGTCTCTACACCTGGGTGGGCCCTGGTCATTTGGCAGCACAGGTTTGAGCCTTGCTCTTAATTGGTTTTTGTTTGACTTCACACCCCCCTCTCGCCTGTCAATTAAATAATGCGCATGGTTACACTGAAACGTGTTCTTGTCTGACAAGATGACCAACCTTGGCGTTGTCAGCTGGTCACATGGCAGGCTCAGGTTGCTTAGAGCAATGTGTCGATTTAAATGGCAGATGAGGGGCTGTGCAAAGTTGAACAAAAGAGCCATTCACAACTTGATGTATGTATGATGAAATGCAGAGATGCTTCCTTGCTAGCTGTCCTTCCCACGATGGCATTACACTTAAGTTTGTCCCAGTGGCTTTGCTGAGCCACATTGTCCAGAAATATGCCAACAGAAGGTGAAAAGATGCAAAGCAGCACAAATGGATGTTCTTTTCTTTTTACCTAAAAGAATATATTCAGATGCAACCATCAGCACTCTGATTAGTTGCTGTAATTACATTTTCTCAGTCACTAACTGATCAATTACATTTATTTTGTTTAATTACATGTAAGTTGCTCCCTAGCACTGAATAGATGTAATAAAAAGAAAATACCATTCAACAAAAGCACATTAATCAGAATCAGCTTTATTGGCTAGGTGTGTCGAACACATGACAAATTTGAATCTGGTACAGTGTTGAGACTGAACAGCCAGCTGCTCTGAAATGTCTCACATCTGGTAACTTCAGATCATTTCTGTATGTGATGAGCTCCAGAATGTGTTGTAAGGGATCTGCTTGTTTTCCCAGTATACCCTAGTCCACATGAGCATGAAAGGAGGCAAATATCGCCCACTGATCTGCAGCTGAGATGCTGTCTGTGCATTTTACCTATATATTGTGTGTGTGTGTGTGTACACGTACATACATGTACACGGTGCCTTGCAAAAGTAATCATACCCCTCGTCAGGAACAGGCTCCAAGTACAAGATCAATAGAGGCCGGGGTCTACCATACCAGACAGGACCCCAGGTGCAGGCTGTGCAAAGATGCCCCAGAGACAATCCAGCACATAACAGCGGGGTGCAAGATGCTAGCAGGCAGGGCATACATGGAACGCCATAACCAAGTGGCTGGCATAGTGTACAGAAACATCTGTGCCGAGTATAGGCTGGAAGTCCCAAAGTCAAAATGGGATACACCTCCAAAGGTGGTTGAGAATGACCAAGCTAAGATCCTGTGGGACTTCAAGATACAAACTGGTAATGGCGAACCAACCGGACATAGTAGTGGTGGACAAAGAGAAGAAGGCTGTAGTGGTACAATCCCAAGTGATAGCAACATCAGGAAGAAGGAACATGAGAAGCTTGAGAAATACCAAGGGCTGAAAGAAGAGCTAGAAAAGATGTGGAATGTGAAGGCACAAGTGGTCCCCGTGGTAATAGGAACACTGGGGGCTGTGGCCCCCAAAGTGGGAGAGTGGCTCCAATAGATCCCAGGAACAACATCTGAGATCTCTGTCCAGAAGAGTACAGTCCTAGGAACAGCTATGATACTGAGCAGGACCCTCAAGCTCCCAGGCCTCTGGTAGAGGACCCGAGCTTGAAGGAAGGAATACAAGACCGCGCCAAAGTGGGGGGCGAGTGGGGAAATATATATTGTGTGTGTCAGTGGTGGGCCGTCTTGGCCAGCATGGCCTTCTCTGCTGGCCTAAACACTATTAGAAGCACTGACCTACATTTACAACCCAAAATTCTAATATTTGTTCCATGAAATTGTATTAATTTATTCCCAACAGTCTGTTCCCTTCATTTCGTAGTATTTCTCTTGGCTGCACCGCTTCCAGTACGTGTATGTGGATGTTAGATTTTTTGTCCAATCAGATTTCAGCCTCTATGTGTTGCCATGTCAGTCTAATCTGCCCAGGGCCTTCAGAATCAGTAGTGCTGGCCGATGTAACTTAAACTGTATTAGCAATGGGACTATTTCTTTAACCAATCAGATTTCAAATTAGTCTCAAAGGGCCAGCTAGCAATTACGTCCGCATTTTTCCGTGCTCTGATTGGTTGGTCAGAGCAAAACTTACAGCCAGGTTGGACTAGCAAAACACGTCTGTAGCGATCTGCACACATTAATACATTTGAGTTAGAATTTTTTACGCCCACGATGGCTGACGGAGGAGGAGAACTTGACTTGGTCTCGGACACACTTAAAAAATCCATCTTCAAGGTGGACTTTTCCAGAAAAGCTAGACATCGTGAGGAGAGGTCGGCCAACCCCGAAGCTGGCTAGCTAGCTAGCTTGTCTCAGCCCGGTTAAGGGTTTGTTCGCCACTTCCATGGCAATAGAAAATGACTTACTGATGGAACTGAAACTCAGAGTCAGAGATCACCTCTGTCAGTCATTGAAGTCTTCCTGCGCAAAGAAAGGAGGATGGATTTTGTCTATAAATAGCATTTCTGGTGAGTATGATGCATTTTATTTAAATTTTGTGTGTTTTTGTCATGTTATTAGATAGATATTGATTCTGAACTGCTCCTGATGTACGTGGCACTTTTGGAGTTGTTTTAACTGGATTTCTTGCTTTAGTAAAAATGGTATTCACCCTCAATACACGAAATACCTCTGTCTCTGTAATGCCACGCTTTGTTATATTGCGTTTTTGTATGGTATTGATGGTTTCTATAATTGCGACGTACAGTGGTGGTATTAAGTTGGGTAGGTCCCCACTGGTACCCCAGGTACCAAATGCATGGCCCGCCACTTTTGTGTGTGTGTGTGTGTCCAAGAATTCTCACATGCCATACAGTTGCAGCATGGAAGGAAGCCACTCGTTATCTCTAATCAGTTGATCAATAAAAAAAAAAATCCAATTTGTAAAAATACGTTTTCATTTTCTGTAGACTCACTAATCAGCTCATCATTTCTCCTCTTGTAAGCTGCTCATCTCATACCAGCTGTTCAGTCCTACATCACCTGGAATCCCACAATGCCTTGCACCTCTTTGGGGCAGTGGTGAACATCCTGTCGCTGCATCTTCAGCTAGCCAGCCAGTCACTGATTGGCTGCAGGTGCTGACATCACTCAGCTGGTAACGCCTGTGTCTGTTTCAGGTGGTGAAGCCATTAGCTGTCATCTGCTCTTCACCCTCCTCTTCTTCCTCTTCACCCTCCTCTCCGTCATCACGTGTACCTACAGCTGCTCACCTGCAACCATCTGCGCACACACAGACACGCTCAGGTGTGCACAGGTTTATAATGCTGACTCTGCTTTTCACCAGTAACGATGAGTAGCTGTCTCCAGATCTCTATCTCCTAATTACAACATAATGGGAACGGGAAGCGTTTCCACGGATACCATTACGCCGTGGGTTACACATTGAGCCTGGTCTTGATACCAGTTCATTTTTCCAGTGTACCAACTATTAAAAACCTGATGATTCCCAGGCAGGTTCTGCAGCCTCCAGTTCCTGCATCATTAACTGTGCATCTCACAGATGGTGAATCATAATTGCCAGATGTGGTCTCTAGTTGTTTTTTGTTTTTTTTTTCCTTTTATGAATGCACTGCTCTTCCATGTTCAGTCACTCTGATGGATTGAGTTTGATATTGGGTGAGTCTACTCGCACAACACGGAGCCTTCTCTGTGATGAGCTCAACCTGTTTCACAGCATAAATTGGTTTCACTGTAGAAACTGCAGCTCATAACTCTGCTTTAACATCCCCACAAGAGGCCACATACTGTATATGGTGTGAAATGAAGAGCACTGATAACTTAATTCTCTGACACCTCATGTGAAAATGCAGCTTCTGTTCCTGTGGAGTTTGGACAAAAAGCAGGCAGATAAATGTCATGTGATGTTTTGTCTTCAGTTGCCATGGCGATCCCAGCCACCTCCCCCTGGTTGGTTAACGAGATGGGTGAACCTGTCTGCATCATGGCAGCCCCCCCTCCCTATTCCTATGACCCTAACGGCAGTGACTTACCCCGAGGTCAGAGGCCAACCAGCATTAACCTGCTTATATACTCAGCCTGATGTGTCAGTACTCATGTTTCTGTGTGTGTGTGTGCAGACTGCAGAGTCCTCCAGTATTACTTCAACTTAGGAGTTCAGGTAAGAGTCCTGAGGGTCCTTTGCTGGAGCTGACTAACACTACTGAAAGGGCTGATCTTTGTAAACCACCTGGCTTTGAGCTGTTGCCCTAGCCTCTATAGGTGTACCCAATAAAGTGGCCAGCAGGTGAATCACTAATTTCTCTTAGTTTGGCTGAGCATCCCTTTCAATCTCAGGTGTACATGAGCCGCAGGTGTAGTCAGTGTTACCCACAGTGGTACCACCAGTGCTGCTGGCAGCAGCAGCAGCAGGCGTACCCCCCCACTTCACCCGAGGCCCCCTACACCTACCAGCACTACCCCCCTTTCCTGAGCCAGGACACACCCCTGCATGGTAAGTAAGACCTGCACTACCTCTGACTGGCTGCTGGTGAAATATAATTGGTGGTCTGAGAGGCTGCAGTTCCTTTGGCGTCCACCAGATGCTGCTGTGACCAAGCATCTCTACAGTCAGGATGTCACAGAGTAAATTCCTGTTCACTTATTTGCTCAGTCCTTGGTGGACCTGAAAGTTGTTCTAGTCCGCCATATTGAAGGACATCCCAAGACCCTTATTCCTGGTCTGAGCAGCGAAGAGGCATGAGCAAGGAACATGAGCGTCCTTCACTAAAGTCTTGATGGACCAACACTCCCCTAGATCAGAAGTCAGTTGGTGATTGGATGGATTGGATGCATTAGATGAGGGATCGCAGGAAAGGATGTCATGTCTCAAAATGTTTACTCGAGTCCTCTCTCCGGATGTTTACCATGGGCAAGATTAAGACCAGGAAAAGATGCAACTGAGGGAAACATGGATGCGGTGAATGCAACTGGAATTTACCTACTGACATCCTGACTAACACACATGCATTAGCTCTCGGCTAACAACACTGTTGTCAATCAGTAGTGCCAACTAGATTTTCATCTGAACTTTGTTAGACTGAGGAACTTTCACGGCAAAAGTTTGTTGATTATCTAACCCTGTTGAGGTCTTCTGCCCCAGCTGCTCCTCAGTCCTACCCTGAGACGGGTCGAACTTCTCATCAGCTCCCCTCCTCCTACCCAGAATCCACCAGGGCAGGAGATGGACAGACAGAGGGACCCGGCAGTGGTCAGTACTGACGAAACGCCTTTATCTGTGGGATCTGAACACAAGATTGAAATGTTTGATTCGTTTTGTCTCTTTCCCCGTCAGTCCCCGCCCCCTCCATAGAAGGTGCCTCCTCCATCAGCCCAGCCTCTGCCAGCTCCGGCCCCTCCTCTACTCTCATGTACCCGGATCAAATGCCCCTCCCTACAGTCCCGCTCTTGCACCTGCAGTATGAAGCTTCACCTCCTACTCCCTACCTGTCCTCTGCCCTTCCCCCTCCTCCCCCTTTTCCTCACCCTGCTCATTCTCACCCTGTCCACCTCCCCCATCACTCATCCTATCACTGCCTCCCGCATGCCACCCACTGGGGGTCGCTCCAGACTGGAGGCCACACCCCACGAGTCTACTGTCCCACACCCAACCCTGCACATGTGGTTAGTTACATCCCCACAGCGCCCCCCCACCACACAGCCACACACTACATCCCTCCCACCATCTAATGCACCAACATTAGTCCATTAGTCAAGCTTTTTCATTTATTTATTTATTTATTTTTTTGTGGCAATACATCTTGAAAAGGCTGAAAGACCAATAAAAATGTCACTGAGGTTTTCTTGTTAGCATGTTAGCTCCAGAGTTTACAGCAGCTAAGTACCTCAAACATGTCAGCCCCAATTTATTTCCTGTTACATTGGTTTTGGTGTTTGTTAATTAACCTGTTATTGAGCAGCTCAAAGTGGGAAGTTTGCTTTCTGTTATGGTAACACAGGAGCCAGCCGTTTCCATAGCAGCCTGTGGTGTGGTGCAGCAGTTGAACTGCAGACGTTTTGTTGTAATTGTTTATCTTTCAAGTGTCAGCCAGCCAGTCGGAGACATGGGGTGGGGCTACAGGCTGGGCACGCTCAGCCCCTGTTTGTTGATGAGGGGATATATTTGTGTTGATGTTCAGACTGGTGATGGGGTTTTGTTTCTGGGTGAATAAAGGTTTTCCACCAGCAGAATGGACGACTCTGTTCTCCTTCAGTGTTGACACTCACCTGCATCTGTGTCTGTACCACAGAAATCGATCAGACGTACCTAGAGGGCTGTTTCACAAAACCTAGATGGCCAATTAAGCCAAGATTTTCCAGGTATCCTGTCTGAATTTAGTCGTGACTCTGTTTCATGAAGGTTGTGCCACATAAGTTGCCATGAGATTCATTCTGTGCAGCTAGCCTGCACCACAATAGGCTAACTTATTAGCCTTAAGGATAATAAGGCTTGATTAGTCCTGGTGCCACGTATCCTGTCGCCACGTGTGTCCTGTCATCAGTCACTCAAACCACAAACTGTGTGTTTAACAGTTGATCTGTAAAACGTGATAGTACCTGGTGCTGATGGTGCTTATGAAGCCTGCTGCTCAGTGTTGGTAGAGGCTTGATAAATGTGTTATTGCAGTTGTCCTGTTGCTTTTCTTTTTTCTCTCTCCTCTATCCACTCACCCTAACGCCGTCACAGCACGAAGAGCCGGGGACTGTCGGAGGTTTCTTCTATTAAAGGGAGCCTTTCCTCCCCACTGTCAAGGAGTGCTGCTCGGTGGGGCTGTTGGGTTTTCCCCTCTACACAGTCAGGTTTAGACCTTACTTATATTGTAAAGTGTCCTGAGATGATTTTTGTTGTGATTTGGTGCTATACAAATAAAACTGAATTAGAAATGTCCTACATGCAGGTGTTTTGGCCTTTGCCAAAGTCTGTGCAGCTGATGAGGCTGACGTTTGTCCTGAAGTCAGAAGACCAGTAAGGCTACTGGGCTTCATCCTGTGGAGAACATAAATATCAGGACCACCCATTGAGCACTTGCTGAGATGTCTGAGTGTGACAACCTCAATGCTGAAAAACCCACCTGTCCTTCAAGGTAATAGCTCTGTGGGAATCTCCACAGTCCAGAGGTCACGACGCCCTCGGGCGCTCAGCGGCTCCTTCAGCCAGCGAGGGTTGGACAACTGAGTCAGGTGTTTCTGTTGCAGACCAATAAGAACAGCTGACTGCTCCATGTACCGTAGCTCCTCCCCCTGTAAGGAAGCAGGGCAGAGCCAGGTTCTGTCCACATCCACCAATCCTGAAAGAGATTCAGTTACGCAGGTGATGCCTTCAGGTACACCTCATAAGCTTTCAGGAATGTCATAGAAAACTGGCATTTCCCACCTGCGACCACACCACGGCCGAACCGCTCCCCCAACTCCAGGAGCTCTTGGATCTGGGCCTGGTTCATCCCCAGTGGGCCACTCAGCACCGCCCGCCATTCCTCCCCTTCCCAGTCCCGCTGGGCAATGTGGACTGCCAGGGTCTGGTGTTCCAGAGGTGCCAGCAGGGGCCTCCAGCGGCTCTCCACTGTCTTCACCCCGTCCAAGATGAGACCGGCATATGGCTGCCGGAATGACAGGCACCACAACTGCACCGACATGTCTGCAAAGAAAATGCACCCCACATATTTTTACTTAATAAAACTACATTCTTGGACACTAAGCCAAATGGTCCCAGGAACTGCTCCGTACTCAGGCCAGGTGGTCAACTACTTGTCCAGGCGGCCAGGCCCCAATACATATTTGTGTTTCCATTGCACAGAGTACATCATTGTGCTGTCTTCTGTGCAAGCAGAACAGATGTCAGCAATGAGTGCAAAAGAACAAACATGGATTCAGCAAACGGTTGTATTGGCTTCCTTTCAGTGTCTTGCCCAAGGACACTTCGACACGTGGACTGCCGGGACCGAGATTCGAACCTTCTGGCTGGAAGACGACTGCTCTACCCACCGCACCACCGTCTCCTCCCGAGTAGCATAAGAGATGGTGACAAAATGGCCTTTAGTAGTGTTTGTATTAGCTTTGGGTACATTAGCAAAGGCTTTATTACAGGCAAAGCATGGAATAGTCCTAGAGCTCAGAGTCACTTTTATTGGTTAACTACGGTTAAACACACAAGGAATGTGTCTCCGGTACAGAGGATCTCAGTGTGCTTGTAGGTCAGCATGGGAAAATGTTTTTAAAATGGGAAAAGAGAACAATCTATTTACATATACAAGTAAACACATTCTGGCAGCAGTGTTATGTATAACAGTTGGTGCATTAAACCCTAAATATGAGGGTTGTCGTTCTGTTACACACTCATGGGTTAACTGTTGATCAGAGCAACGGCCCGGGGGAAGAAACTGTCCATGTGCCTGGTTGTCTTGGTGTACAGTGACCTGCAACGCCATCCAGAGGGGAGGAGCGTTTGTGTCCAGGGTGTGAGGGGTCTGCAGTGATCCTCTTGACCCGTGAGGTGTACAGGTCCTCCAAGGAGGGCACCAATAGTTCTTCCTGCAGTCCTGACTGTCCGCTGGAGTCTGTTCCTGTCCTGTTAGGTCACTGAGCCAAACCAGACAATGATGGAGCAGAGAACAGACTGGATGATTCCTCTGTAGAACTGGGTCAGCAGCTCCTGGGGCAGGTTGAACTTCCTGAGCTGGAGCAGGAAGTTCAACAGCTTCCTGTCTGTCAGAAAGCTAGTAATCAACTGACAGGTGGGGGGAGGCACAGTGAGCTGGGTCAGTTTAGAGTGGAGGATGTCTGGGACGATGGTGTTGAACGCCAAGCTGACGTCCACAAAGAGGGCCCGTGCACAGGTCTCTGGGGAGTCGAGGCATTGCAGGATGTAATGTAGTCCCATGTTCGCTGCATCGTCCACTGACCTGTTTGCCTAGTAGGCAAACTGTAGGGGGTCTACGATGTCCTTCAGGTGGGCCAAGACCAGTCTCTCATAGGACTTCATGACTACAGACATTGGGGGGACAGGTCTGTAGTTCATTCCACTGAGGGAGGGTTTCTTGGGGACCGGGATGATGGTGGAGCGTACAGTTTTATAAACATATTGCCAAATCTGAAAAGTTACACTGCATACAAAGTTTAAACTTCCTAATGCAAGATCTGAATTTTGATTTCCAAATGTGTCTTTTACACAGTGGTGGAAGAAGTAATAGTAGCAATACATCAGTGTACTGTTACAACTTACAAGCATCACAACATACCTGAAGTACTAAAAATACTCGTGCGGAATGGCTCATTTAATGTTAATGTATAACTAGTAACTAAACTTATAAATTAAATGCGGCGAAGTAAAGAATGTAAGAGGCGACAGTGGTGCGGTGGGTAGAGCAGTCGTCTCCCAATCAGAAGGTTGAAGGTTCCAATCTCGGTGTCTCCAGTCCACGTGTAGAAGTGTCCTTGACCAAGACACTGAACCCCCCAAGTTGCCCCCGATGGTTAGAGCCATCGGTTGAAGTGGCGCCACAGATGGCTGCCATCGGTTCTGTACCGGAAACAAATTCCTTGTGTGTAACATACTTGGCCAATAAAGGTGATTATCCTTATCCTAATAATTGCCTCTAAAAGTTAGAGATGAGGCACAAAATGAAAATCCTCATCCAAGTTCCTCTAAATTGTACTTATGTAGTAAATGTACTTAGTTACTTTCCATTACCGCATAAATGTAAAAAGTTCTTTTAATTCTTTCAAATGGAGATTCATCCGTTAGTCACAAACCCCCCAGCAAGTATAGTGGCGGGCTAATATTTATGGAGGGGGATTTTAAAATACATAGCCCTGCCGTATGTAATGTTATGGTCCAGTAATGTACAGGTGTGGGATTAATTAATTTAAGTGAACAACGCTGACATGTTTATGTCAGTGCAACCACTGCACCCTGTTCCAGTTGGATGTAACATCGCCAAGAAGACATTAATGTGGCTCATTTGTTAAAACGTTTAACACCGTATTTTGATAACATTCTCTTTCAATAAAATGGAAGGCTGGGATAAACGCCAATAAAATGGAGATACGAAAGGTAAACTAGACGAACAGTGAACGGCAAAAAAACATTAACGCAAAGACTTTTTCTACGGAGTTTGGCACCGAGCGGTTTCCGTAATGAACGCGAGGCCCTTTGTTGACAGGCCATATTTACAGTTTAACGACTTTAATTTTCAGTAAAAATGTTTTCACTAAACGTAACAGGTTCTACAGAATTCACGACTTACAACTAGCTCCAAACTCCGCTGTGTTGGTTTGGCTGATTATGGTCACTTCCTCTTTTAAGCCTTCTTCTTCTTCTTCTTCTGTTGTTTAATGGCGGTTGGCAACCAGTTTTAGGTACATTACCGCCACCTTCTAGACTGGAGTGTGGATCAGAACGGCCCCTACCTACTACTATAACAGAATCAGAATCAGCTTTATTGGCCAGGTGCGACGGACACACGAGGAATTTGACTCTGATACATCGGCTCTCAATGTGCAAACAGTAAACCAGCATAAGGCTGTGTAATATAACAAAATAAGCAGTATTAACAGCAACATTGACAGCAACAAACAGTGCAAACAATGCAGAATAAGCAGTATAAACAGTCAGTAAGCAATGCAGACAACAAAGGAATGTTCATTGAAATGAGGTAAATAGGGATAATAACCTCACTCAGCTCACATCAGCGGCGGGCCGTGCATTTGGTACCTGGGGTACCAGTGGGGACTTACCCAACTTAATACCACCACTATCACGTCGCAATTATATAAACCATCAATACCATAACATAACGCAATATAACATAGCATGGCATTACAGAGAGAGAGGCATTTCGTGTATTGAGGGTGAATACCATTTTTACTAAAGCAAGAAACCCAGTTAAGACAACTCCAAAACCTCTACACTACTTGTAAATGTAGGTCAGTGCTTCTGATAGTATAGGCCAGCAGAGAAGGCTTTGCTGGCCCCGATGGCCCACCACTGGTTCACATTATATTATCTTGCTTAGCCCTGTGCTCTTTTAAAAAACCTAATAAGTACTCTGTACTTATATGGCCTGGGCTTTTTCCCAACACCTCTGGTAAACTAAGTTGCCCGTGATGGCGGCACATATGCATGCAGCGGCCCAGGGCCCTCGGCTCCAAACATAATTTCGTTGTACGTGTCACAGTGTTACAATGACAATAAAATAAAGCTGCTTCTTCTAAAGTTCATTCCACCACTTAAAACTGTATTTTTGAATAACTCCCTCTTTCGCCTGAAGCTGGGATAACTCATTAGAACATGTTCCACGGTTTCTTGTACCATACACAACTCATTCCCCTGTATTATGCTTCTTTATTATCTTCAATGTTCTTTTTAAACCAGTATGCCCAAATCTCAGTCTTGATACTAAGCATAAGCATAACTTTATGCTTAGGTATAACTGCCTGTTTAGATTTGTGTTATTGCTCATCTACTTTATATTTCACTTGTATTGTGTGGCATTCATGTGGACTGCAAAGTATGAATTTCATTGTAAAAGGAAACATGTTTCCTAACCGTGCATATGACAAACACTTTCAAATTTTATTTGTATAGCGCCAAATCACAACAAAAGTCATCTCAGGACACTTTACAGAGTAAGGTGTAGATCTTACTGTTATCACTATTATTACAGAGGGAAAACCCAACAACCCCACCCCCACCTGCCAAGATGGCAGCCGCCATATTCATATTTTGGCTTCACCTTTGTATAGCAGAAGAAAGTGATGACACTGTCCATACTTATATAAAGTCAGTGGTGTGGGCTTTCAAAGCTCATTTTGATTGGGTTTTTGGATTTTGTTTTCCCTTAATAATAAAAACCTTCATTTAAAAACTGCATGATGTGTTTACTTGTGTTATCTTTGACTAATATATAAATTTGTTTGACGATCTGAAACATTACAGTGTGACAAACATGCAAAAAGATAAGAAATCAGTAAGGGGGCAAACACTTTTTCACACCACTGTAACTATGGGAAGGCTCAGGGTCACCTGATCCAGCCTTAACTATAAGCTTTATCAAAAAGGAACGTCTTAAGTCTAATCTTAAAGGTAGAGAGGGTGTCCGCCTCCTGAACTGAGACTGGGAGTTGGTTCCATAGGAGAGGAGCTTGATAGCTAAAGGCTCTGCCTCCCATTCTGCTTCTGTGGACTCTAGGAACCACAAGTAAACCTGCACTCTGACAGCGAAGTGCTCTGTTAGGCTGATAAGGCTCTACGAGGTCTTTAAGATATGATGGAGCCTTGTCATTAAGGGCTTTGTATGTTAGGAGAAGGATTTTAAATTCTATTCTGAATTTTACAGGGAGCCAGTGGAGAGAAGCTAATATGGGAGAGATATGATCTCTCTTGCTAGTTCCTGTCAGTACTCTGGCTGCAGCATTTTGGATTAACTGGAGGCTTTTTAGGGAATTATTGGGACATCCTGATAGTAAAGAGTTACAGTAGTCCAGCCTGGAGGTAACAAATGCATGGACCAGTTTTTCAGCATCACTTTGAAATGGGATGCTCGTGATTTTCGCAATATTGAGCAGTTGAAAGAAGGCAGTTCTAGAGACTTGGTTTATGTGTGATTTAAAGGACATATCCTGGTCAAAAATGACTCCAAGGTTCCTCACAGTAGTACTGGAGGTGAGTACTTTGACCTTGATACCATATCTTCTTCCTTCCTATTTCCAGTACTTCCTCTCACTTCTCCTACTTTCCTTTGAATATTATAATAGAACCACCCCTTGTCGTCTTTATCCCACAGTTCTTGCCATTTCTCTTTCATTTTCCTTTTAACTTCCTTATAACTTACTTCCACACATCTCTTTTAAGTGCAGCTTTTGCAAATCTATCTGCTAGTTCATTTCCCTCTACCCCTATATGTGCAGGAATTCAAACTAGCCTAATATCTATTCCAGCCCTCTGACATCTGAATAGCATACAAGTGTAACCGGGGTATAATAATTACACAAAATGTTTTGGTTCATGTGTAAGTTAATTGACATGCCTGGTCAGGGAAGCCTCCACTCCACTAGGACTCGCAACTGAGCCATGCTTTTCTTCGTTGGTAGCCGGGTATAAATAGGGGTCGCGCACCTCTCCCGCTCTCTTTCCTGCACGGTGTCGAGTGGTAAGAGGTGAGCGCTAAATCCATTAACGACTATTTTACTTTTAACGCCCACCCTGGGTCGCATGGGTAAACTTGTGTGTTTTTGTTTAGGAGCGAGCTGAGCATTCACTGGAGGCTAACTGTTGTATGTATTTTTCTTCTATGACCAGGTATGTCCAAGTTATGTATTATAGTTTGTATGTTATTACCCTGCGCATCTCTTTCACGCTCTCTTTCCTGCACGGTGTTGAGTGGTAAGAGGAGCGAGCTGAGCATTCACTGGAGGCTAACTGTTGTATGTATTTTTCTTCTATGACCAGCAATAAAGGGCCCCGTGAATAGCAAGTGTGTCGGTCCATGTGTCCCAATGCTAACACAACGCAGCACGGCCAGTCACCAGAGGGACAGGCGAGGATTAAGAGGACAGTTTAGAGACCCAAAGGCGACCGGTTACACAAGCTATTTCAAGTATTATGTCCTGCCTCGAGTCTGACTGTTTTTCTTCTTCTCATGAAATTATCTGCAGGAAATACAAGTCTCAACAGTTCTGCTGCCCACCAGGCTTTTTGAAACCAGCTTTTAATTTTTAGTGTATTAGACTACCACCAGTTGTCTGGTGCTGGATGTTTGGACGAGGCAGGCAAGCAGAGTGGAGCCTCCGCTGGTGCTGGTGTATCCAGATGGAGGTAAGGAACCCAGGTGAGTGGTGGTCAGAGGTCTGGAGGTGGTTGGATTGGTGTTGCTGGCAGAAGGAGGGCTGAGTGGAAGCTCTGCTGGAGCTGGCGTACCCAGGTGGAGGTGAGAGGCTCAGGTTGCAGAATTGGAGGTGACTAGATCAGCCACGAGATGAACAGGCACATTGTAATTGAGGGGGACAGGTAGCTGAGTGAGAGGTACAGGAGCTAGCAAGGCTGCGATGTGGAGCACAGGTGAGTATAAACATGTTGGGTCTGACAAAATTCACTGAGACATTTGAGAGGTATGCAAGAGCCTGGCAGCAACAAGGAAATCCACTGGGAAAGCAGTATTGCTGGGCAACTTGTACTGGAACAAGTAAGCACAGAAATTAGCTGTAAAAGAACGCCACAACATTTAGAAGGTACAGAACAGACCAGCAATGGGGAGATGCCAGCACCCAGGTTAAGTAGCATCCAGCTGATGAATTGATTGGGAGCAGCTGTGCAGCTCCGCCCATGGCACGCTCTGCCACTCGCCCTCTTAGAGGATCTGTCCTGGACCACCAACACCTGCAGCCTGGTTAAGAAGGCTCACCAGCGCCTCTTCTTCCTGAGGATTCTGAAGAAGAACCACCTGTCTTCAAGCATCCAGGTGAACATCTACTGCTGTGCCATCGAGAGCATCCTGACCAGCTGTATCACAGGGAATGCTGTCTCCGACATGCTCACAGCATTCTCAAGGACTCCTCTCACCCTGCTCACAAGCTGTTTGACCTCCTGCCCTCTGGGAGGCGCTTCAGGAGCCTCTGCGCCAAAGCCAGTAGACCCAGGAACAGCTTCTTCCTCACAGCTGTCTCCTTGCTGAACTCTGTCCCCCATTGACACCCCACTGCCTTTGTAGTGGTAAAAAACAAACAAGGTTCCAGTCCAGAGGTAATAAGTGTGTAGTTCATATATAGATATTATTTGTAGTAGTCATGTAAGGGTGAGCTAATTGTTTATGGAAGCTTGATCTGTTTCTTTTCTCTTCTCTTGCTCAAGCAAGAATATCTGGGGTTGTGTTCTCCTTGTTTAATTTATGGGTAAACATCCAGAGAGAATTCCTCCTTAAACGGGGAATGGACATAGCTGCAGCCTTATGTGAACGGTTCGTGTGCTCTGTTCATTTTTAGAATAGGATATGTGCACAAAGTCAACACAACCTAGAAGTTCATGTACTGGACATCTTAGACAATGCTCGGAAGAAGGGGTGTGGAGCTGGCATGGGACTGTGACTCTGGCTCAAGCAATAGGAGGATCTATAACTGGGAGAGGATTTGGAACACCGCAGGGAACACCAATCGCATCAATGTACGTAGGCGATAATCTAGCTGGATCAAATAGTGCATCCCGCTTTAACCGGTGTCCCTTAAGAGGATGACCAGAGCCTGACACAATATCAGAGACTGCTGCTTCAACTATAGTAACTGGAACTATAAGTGAGATCATAGTGCAGGTACCAGACCAATCAGGAGGAAGAGTATTATGTAATCTATTACCACCACAGTACCAAAACACATCAGACCTGGCATAGGTCAGACGTGTAGCATT